CCACCGCCGCCCGCCATGAATTTACCTCAGCAGCAGCAGCCCGCGGCGCCGCAGCAGCCTCAGAGCCGGAGGTCACCCGTCAGCCCGCAGCTCCAGCAGCAGCACCAGGCGGCCGCTGCCGCCTTCCTGCAGCAGAGGAACTCCTACAACCACCACCAGGTACGGCGGGCGACGGCCCGGCTGCGCCGCGGGGCCGGGGAGACCGCGGGCGGGGGCGTCGGAGACCGGTCTCGGCCCGGCGCGGCCCCGAGGGGCAGCGGCGAAGGCCCCTCGCCCGACTGAGTAGGACCCGGAGGGCGGAAACGGTCGACGGGACTCGGGACACCAGACCCTGGCGGGGCGTGAGGGCTGTGGCCACCGTGGGCTGTGTGGCTCCAGAGTCGGGTCCGGCTGGAAGTGGCCCCGGCCGGGCGTTCCCTCGAAAGCCCCGGCGTGGCGGTGGGTCTAGGGCAGGGGAGGAATGGCGCCGGGGCGGGGGCGGGGGGCGGCCGGGCGCGACGTCCCTCTCGTACCTCGTACGAGGCGACCCCGGGGCCCTGCCGGCGCCCCCTGGCCTGGTGAGTGGCCGTCCGGCTTCCTCGAGCCCGGGAGACACGGCGTGACGGCCGGGGTTCGGGGGTCGGAGGACCTGGGGTCGGGGACACGGGACCAGCGGGCTCGGGCGGCGGCCTCGGGGAGGGGGGGAGCGGCCGTGGGAAGCGAACCCGGGGAGGAAGAGAATGATAACCGGAGACGGTGCGTGTGGTCAGCCCGTGACCTTTCGCCGTCGTCCAATGAGGGAACGGGCGGAAAAGCTTTTTTTCTTTTGAGTTTGTTTCATTCTTAATTGGCCGGCGAGACCTGTAGCGGGCGAGACAGTTGCCGCCCGCACAACCTACCGGGACCAGGGTCGGCGAGGAGCGTCCCGGCCGCGCTCCTCCTGCCCACCTGCCTCCCGACGTGGGTCGGTCCCCCGAGCTGTCAGATGATTAAGACTGAGATGCTCCAAGACGGTTTTACTTTCTGTGCTTTTTAATGTTTGGGTACTATTTTGTAGGTTTTAAAACTAAACTAGTGTGCTATTTGTGTGTTACCTTGAAGAGAAGACTTTCACTTTTTTTCTTTTCTCTCTCTCTCTTTTTTTTTTTTTTTGGTGGCCTTAACCTTCTCTTGAATGATAGGGTGTGTGTATTTTAAGTGGGTAGTATAATTATGAAATCGCAGCAGGCAGGTTTTTTTATTCATCCGGGTCCTTTCAGATTCAAGGTCTGTTTTGTTATCCTCTCAGAACAACGTTTGAGTGGCCGCTGGTTTGGTTAATTGACATTGAAGGAGTATTTTGTTGTTCTTTTTTGATCTAGTCAGCATTTATTATAGTGATCATTCTGTCTAAGACCAATTTCGTGATTAAAGGTTGAGAGGGAAGCAAGATTGGACCTTAACCACTACTTACGTACTCATATAACTTTTTCCATTGCCCAGTTAAAGTTTTTAAGGGTTACCCTTTTAAAAAGGTGAATACTATCTAATTTAACCAAAATAACAGTTAACAGTTTATTTAAATTAACCAGAATAACAACAGTTTTTGTTGAATCACTGATTTCTTCCTGAGGAAGGAGAATGTGGCCTATAAGCCTTGAAAATAGTTAATTTTGAAATAGTATTCCCCTTTTCCATGATTTACATAATCTTGAGCAACTGTCTTTTGGGTGTCAGGGTCTTCGTTTTTTAACTGGAAACTTGCCACAGAAGGTTATCTGTAGGTATTTTTGTATTCTTAAGGCCTTGGTATATCATTAGAAGACCATATACCAAGATCCATATTTAACTATAATCTGCTTTTTGTCAAAAGATGGGTCTTGCAATGGAGTGTAAGAGGTCACAGCTGTTATATGGAATTTTAGGTCACTGGAAGAGAAATTTGAACACTGCATCAGTGATGAAAGTAAGGTCCTGAAGAATGGAATATGTCCGTGATCCCTTAGCTATCCTTTTGAACTACATAGAGGGGGAAAGGGTAGCATATATTCATGATTATATTAGCATTAAAAAAACATTTTTAATAAGTAATAGGCACTATAGACCAGGTTTTCAGAAAAAAAAATAAGCAGGTTTAATATTGAGTGCTTGACTTAAAATAACTTATTGACTTATAGTTAAGTGCATGACCCATACTCCTTTTGGCTAAATGTTGGCACAAAATTATTAAATTATAAGCTTATTGACTATAAAATTGCTAGCAATTAATACTTTTCAAAATCTACAGTTGTAGCCTCTTGGTGAATTTTTCATTCTTTGATGACTTAACTTTTCTTGCTATTGGTTAGAGTTTGGAATATTACTTTACTTTTGAAAATGAATAAAGTTAATGGAGACTTGTATTACTAAGATCTTTACTAGAATGATCAAAGTATATAGTTGTTTATCTTAGTGTATCCACCTATGGGTAATATCAGATAATTATTTAACAGTTCATGGATAATTAAGTGAAGTAAAAACTATGAAAATTTAAAAGAAACGACATTAAAACCAGAATCAAATCTCTTAAAAGTTGAATAAGCAGTGCAAAAAAAAGGCATATTTGCTATATTTTCCCTATGTCAAAAGGCATTTTTAATCTGTGCAGTAGAATAACACCAAATGTTATTATCCACTTTTGCAGTGGTACAGTTTGTTTTAGAAACCTAAAGTCTAGATATTTCACTCATATGATTGGTATATTTTAATTGATAATGATCATATTTTTAGTTCTGTGCTTAGCGGAACATGGTTGCTTTAAGATCATAGTGTAGGTTATATCTTTAAGGATCTTCAAAGTTAATTTCAATTTTAAAGTATTTTTTTCTTCATATCTGTCATTTATACAGTTCTCTCTAAAGGGGAAAAAAAAAGTAACTGCATGGTTCTATTTTAATGTGTGTCATGAAGTATCTGCTTGATTCATTATAATTTATAGTAGACAAGAGTATGAAAACTCAGCATTAAATGAATATATTTTCATAAGCAAGATGTCAAGCCTATTACTTTTTATAAACTAGTTATGATATATTCTCTTGCCTTTATATATTTCATTTTTTTAAGATCATATAAATTCTTAGCTCAGGCCTAAATTTGAATTTGAATTATAAACTTTTTAAATGCCTATAATTTAAATACATGTATTTTCCCCAGCCTCTTCTGAAACAATCTCCTTGGAGCAACCATCAAAGCAGTGGCTGGGGCACTGGAAGTATGTCGTGGGGAGCAATGCATGGCAGAGATCATCGTAGAACTGGAAACATGGGAATTCCAGGAACTATGAATCAGATATCTCCATTGAAGAAACCGTTTTCTGGTAATGTCATAGCACCGCCGAAATTTACTCGCTCTACTCCATCACTGACTCCAAAATCTTGGATTGAAGATAATGTGTTCAGAACAGACAACAATAGTAATACGCTCTTACCCTTACAGGTAAGAATGGTATGTAAATGGCCTTATTTCTAATGTTAATCTTTCAAAATAGGAAATTGGGGGTGGCAGTAGTAATAGTATGGTAAAATTAATGGATTAAAAAAGAGAAAGCTTTAATTTTTAAGCATATAATTTGATTATCAAAGGATAAAATACCTATACAAAAAAATTGAGACTAAAAAAATCTCTATAAACACATAATATAGAAAATAAGCTTCATAAAGTGTAGAAAACCCTGCTGTATTTCTTAAATTCATATTGATGCTTTTACTTGGCAGCTCCTTAAGAATGCCTTAATTCATTAATCTTTAACAGGCCACCAAAATGAGTTTCTCCTCCAATATAGCTGAACTAAAATGTTTCGTAATTGTGCATAAATATAACTATGGTCAGCCGTATGTATATTCAAATGTAGTTAGTACAGCTACGATCATGAAAAAATAACATTAGGACTTTTTACATAGAATTAAAATTTGTCCACTGGTTCAGTGACTTCTTTTTTTCTAAATGTGGCCTAATACTTATAATGATTAGACATTTTTTTCAGGGCTTTTAATATTTTGCTGATATTGTAGGTTAACAAAGTCCCCTTATGGCTATTTAAAATGAGATATTTTTCCCTTAAAACTGTTAGAGGATGGAACAAGGATACAAGATAGAAAAAACTTTGATTGTTTTTTTTCTTTTCATTCTTTTTTTTTTTTTTTTTTTTTTTTTG